GAGCAAAAGTGCATTTTTAAGGCTCATATCTCAGTGAATAAATTTTTTTAGACAATAGGAGTTGGAACACATCATTATGGTCAGGCAATCATATTAAGACCATAAAATAAATACCCTAAAAAATCACTGCAGTTACACTTTAAGAACAATCTAAAATTATAAATCATAGAAAATAATTGCAATCATCATTAATACATGTACCTCATAATGAACAAGAAGTATATCAAAAGGAGGATCGATCATAGCACCACTCTAGACAGTAATATTAATAATATTAATAATAATGATATACTGTGTAGGAGTTATATTTCACTGGAAATAAATTTCGTGAATTTCACGTTTTCATTAAATTTGTGAAATTAAATTCCACAAAAGAGGTGTGGCACACTAAAAAAAATGGTTGCAGAATGTAGGATTCGTAAAAATTTATACCAAAAAATGGAAAATTTGAACAAATTCGCGAAATTTTATACCAACAAAATAAAACCCCTATATGGTAGTACATTACTTTGTAACAATGCAAAATTATTTCTTCTTGTTTTGAGCCTCTCATTTCTTTATCTCCACAAAAATTAAAAACTCTTAACTGAGGTGATGCTCTACAATAATCAAAGGTACTTATAGTGTTAGTAGAACACACTGACCAAACCTTTGTAACTCTTTCTCCCATCCACTAACAACAGAGAGAGGACATATGACAATAAATGGAGAAGGAGAGGAGGAAGCATCTCGTAGATAAAGTAGTAGAGCTATGGACTATAAAACAATCATACTTCTATGTCAGTTGTTAATGATACTTAATTTTTTAAGAGGCCTTTCTGTCTGTAATTACAAGGCTATTTGTTGGGCAGTCTTTTTTTCTCTCATGTGTATAGACAATTATAAAAATGCTCAACCTACAAAAGGGTAACAAAAATTGACGAGAGAGTTTAAAAGAAACCCTAAGACACTGAGAAACATTGGGCTTTATTAATTAAACAAAAATTAAGCAAGCATAGAATTTGAACATGCATGGTCCATGTCCAGCAATGAGTGGACACGGATTAGTATACTGAGCAGTTATCTCCGTATACTACTGGTTGACTTTATACAGGGCAGGAATGGACATTTCCATTTACTAGGCTATATCTTTCTTCAGAATAAGTCTCATCAATTTGCGCACTTCAGTAGCTGTTCTCCATAATTATACCTGTGTTCCTGCTAAATATGACAGCACTTGGAGTAACTTTGTGTGGAACATTTACAGATTAAAGATGAGGCAGTCAGTGCCACCATTTTGTCATTCCTTTATGTATGTAAGATAAATATTTTACTTTTTGAATGGTTATATCTAAATTTCAAACAATTTTGGACAAATTGCGCACTTACCTCGTGAAAGTAAAACATTTTACTGCTCAATCATGCAAAAAAGATAAAACTTTGTTCGGAACTTTTGTCTTCTAAAGGTGAAATAATTTTAGTCATCTCAGTGATAACGGGTGCAGCAACAAGAGTGAACAAGTGCTTTTTTCTTCTCATAGGAATAATAAAGTAAAACTAAGAGTGCTTAACAGCTACACAAGCAAATCATGTCTCTAGATCCTTTATAATAACAACAAGAAGGCCGTTTGTTAGTGGATGAGTCTTCTTGCGCCACGCTTGCCACTTTAGCAATAGAATATGAAAAAACTACCATAACCAATTGCATTAAGTAGCATTCAAGAAGCTCCAAGTATCTAGTGAAGTCCCATCCATGAACCAGAAAGACGTTAGCAGGCTTTGTAGTGAAGCTTCCTATCAATCCACCATTGCTGAGCTGCCGTTGCTATGGTAATTCTAATGAATATCATTAAATTAATGCGACTGGAAGTTCCATTCCAATAGCTGGACATGTCTTGATTTGTGGTAAATCTTTTCAAAATTTACTTCTCAGCCTGTTAATTTCATTAATGCACCGACTACTAACTTTAACAGAGAGGATCAAATGATAATAAATGTAATCCATTTAATGTACGTACACAAGACAATGCAACATATGCCATACCATCCCCAAAAACATCAGTAGATAAATCAATAATGGCTGTATCTAGTGAGAGGTCGTCACATTTATATATAGTAATAACATAAGAAAGGATAAGGGGAAACTGTTTTCTATGTATATACAAATTCTTAGATAGCATAAATCTAGATGTAACCCTTTTTATGTCACAAGGTACATCAATATGATCAAATTTGATTGATATACATGTAGCATAAATACCCATTACTGTACCAATGGCACCATTAACTAATCCTACAGCCACATCAATATTACATCTTAGCATTACTCTACAGCCTACTGCTAAAGACAATACAGTTTCTAAACCAGCTGTTTTACTTGGTTGATTTTTTAGTTTCTCTAATTTTTTTTCTTGTTTTTTGTCAAATTTTGCTGTGCTGCCACTTCAATCAACAACGTCAACACATGCTAATTCTATTTTCTCAGTTTGTAGACTTTCTAACGTTAATTCATTGATTTTTTGGCAGACGTTTACTTTAGAAAAATAGGCAAATTGGAGGATTTCTTCCTTTACTTTCCAATTCTTTATATTTTTCTTGTATTGAAACCTTAAATACGCGACTCTTAGGCATATCAATAGTTTCATCAGTCAGACAGCCATGCCTTACAACATCAAGCATCTTGAAAAAAGTTTCGTCTCCTTTTTGTCGCCCATTAATTGTTAGTTCATCATATTCAACTGTTTCTTTCCTAATGTTAAATGCATTTGCTGCTCCAAGTCTAGTTATTACTAATTTGTTGCTAATTTTTTTAAATACTGGTCTACCATTAACTGGTGGTAATTGTAAGTGATCACCTACAAATAAAATATTCTTAGATCCAAACCATTCATCAGTTCCAAATATATCTTCTATGCGCATGTGTAAGTATGTTCGATTTAGTTTGGATACCATAAGTACCTCATCTACTATTATAATTTTTAAATTTTCGCGTGTCATTTTTATCCTTTTCTGAGCTTCTTTATTCAAAGCCCAATATCCAACTGTCTTTCCCTCATGCTCTATTGGTAGCTGAAATAATCTATGTATTGTTAGTCCAGCTACATTAAATGCGGCTATACCTGTTGGTGCTACTATAGCACTCATAATTTTACCACTTTTTGGATGCCATATGTCATACAGTAGGCATTTTATTGCTTCTATTAAAAATGATTTACCAGTACCACTTACACCACTAATAAACATTCTTAGCGGTTTGATATTTTCTAATCTAAGTAGTCTTGAAGACTAATTCTCTAATAAGTCTTCACGTTCTTTTGACTTATAAGATGACTCTTAATTTTATCAAAAATTCATTTTTGATCTACATTAAGCATTGCGTCTCTTTGCTTTAATGTTAAATTAGGTACATTTATGTGCATGTCAGCAATATCAGCTACTGCTTCCATTATTTCACCCAGTAATTGAGGCTCATCATCTTCCTTGTTATCAGGAAGTTCTTCTTCAGTAAAACCGGCTTTATTTCTTGCATCGACTATTTTCTTCGAATTATGTTCAGCTTCTAATAATTTTTGTAGTTTGTTAAAATGATTTTCAATGCCACGTATAGATGCTTCTCTGTGACGCCTAAAAGCTTCTTCCTTTGGTTCTCCTTCCATTACGAGTGTGCTCTCATTTCTAAAAGGCACAAATAAAATTATTAGCAATAAAAATCATCTCTTTCCGCTTCTTGCATAGCATTAAATTTCCTATTGTTTGGAAGAACTGGCTTTGATCGAAGTTTGTATTCTCTTTCTCCATTTTCTCCTATTATATCAAATTTTATAATTAGCAAAAAATTCATAAAGAGATACATCTTCCATGTTATTTGGTCTTGTTGAATAAATGTCTTCAATTATGCTAGGACTAAAAAGGTCTTTAGAAGATCGATCCATTTTAGTCAAATATAAATAGTTTTTGATTTTTCTGCTCTCCTTGTGAGGCAAGTACACATTAACTTACTGTACGGTTATTGATTTTATGTCTAATCTTTCACCAAGAAGATCGCTAGCTTCATATAGTCCTACTTTTTTAGCTCAAACTAATTTTTGGCCATTTTTCCAAAGCCTGCTGTATATTGTTGTCACAGATGCTGACTTCATTCCATAAGTCCTGTGCATGACTCTTTTCTGCTTTAGTGACATATCCAGTTACATACTCTGTAAGGAAAGACTCCTCTCTGCTATGTATTGCAAGTCCATATTTGAATGCCACAATTTGAACAGTAAAGGGTTGTAGTCATTGACTCGAACTTCTTTTTCATTTCGCTTGAGATAATATATTTTATTGCATGATTTCAAGCTATTTTCAACATCATTGATGCAAATACTCTCTTACAGGTCTAGGAAAATCAAATCGGCATCTAGATAACTAAGTCTTGCCGACTTTAATATTTTGCTTGCAGTATTTGCTGCACTTTTGCATTTCGTATTTTGTTACCTAATAATTTAAATCAGGTGACGTATTACTATCTGGTACATGACAGGTAATTCTATCTTGTATGAAAGAACAGACTTCTTCTGGACGATCGATACCGACACAGGAGCATTTTCAATCCATAGGAGGATGTGATAATGAGGTGCTCCACGCATTTGATATTCTTTTTTAACATAATATTGTTCTTCTTTGCCTGGAACACCTCTCTGGAGAATGACTATGTTAAAGAAATTCTTAAATTTGTATAAAAATTGTTCTGATACTGAATCAGGGTCCTCAGTACATAATCTAGAAATACTATATGATTGTCGTGCATTATTCACTTTTCTTAAATATTGTGCTATATCAGCTGAATCGTATTCGGCACAACTTAATGTTAGGAGAAGTGTTGGTGAGCCATACTCAGCAATCATTGCTTTGACTTCACCTTTCACACGGAACCAATATTGATTTGTGCCCCATATTGGAGCCAACATGGTACTTAAATTGCCCTCAAATTCTTCATCTAACACATTTATTTCTTCTAATATTTCAGCATCAGTTTGACCAACGTTGCCCCTTGATGTTTTTAATAAAATATATATGCCAGTTTTTAAGGCCTTGTTAATTTTTAATCCATAATAGTGCAAACAATATAAATGATTTCTACAAAATCAAGAATCTTTGTTTAAGGTACAACGGGCTGAACGCACAATTTAGTTTTCGGAACACAAATTGTTTCCTTTATACTTTTTCTACAACATATAATTTTTTCAAATTTTTTCTCAATAGTGAGACGCAATAAACTTTACTTAACTTTTTAAAATGGTTGAAAACTGAGTAAAGAATTCTTGAATATGATGAGAGTACTTTAATTTTTAGTAATATGATTGTTTTTATAATACTATTTTCTATTGACGTATGTTCCATCACTTGGCAAAAGTTCTTCAAG